TTTTTTAAAAGAATTCCGAAATTTTTCTTTAAAAAAGTTCGAAATTTACAAAATTTCGGGAATTACGAAACAATTTCGAAACAATTACGAATCAATTTGTTAATGGCTGACGCGATTGTGCAATACGCTAAAAAAGCGAGAGTCCAAAAGTGGCAGGATCAAACCCAAAGCCTCAATCCATGGGTGATACCAGATATGAGATTCCCCCCTTGCACACAGAAGACTGGGCAACTTGGAAAGCGCTGAACAGACTGCGCTCTGGCACCACGAGATGCAGAGCCAATCTTAAGAAATGGGGCCACAAAGTGGAATCCACAACATGCGAGTGTGGGGGAGAGCAAACCACTGACCACCTGCTGCAATGCACCCTGAGCCCTGCCACATGCACCATGGACCTCCTTGCGGCAACATCAGAGGCACTCCAAGGGGCCAGATACTGGTCAAAGGACATTTAATCAACTACCAAGCTTGCAAAGCCTGTGTTTTTTAATCTGTTTGTTTGTTTTGTTCTGTTAGAAATGTAGCACAATGGTATGGTTGCTGACGACACGATAAATAAATAAGTAACTGAAAGGTAGTAGGATAACCAGAAATGAAGTAAGATTAGCAAGATTGGCGTTTCAAGGAAGGAAAAGTAGATGGAGGCTCCAAAGAATAGTTTACCCCAAGGCATCAATCTTGTTTAACGTATTTATGACAAGCCACAGCCACCACTCACAAATAGCCTTATATATGCTGATGACCTTGGCCTCACACCACAAAGAAAAGATTCTGAAACAGTCAAAAACTAACTTACTAATACCCTGAAAGATCTCTCCAGCTATTTCAAAGATAACCACCTAAAGCCTAACCCTGCCAAGACAAAAGTTTGTGCTTTCTACCTATGTAACCATGAAGCCAACAGGAAATTGAAAATTATCTAGGAAGGCCAAGAGTTCGAACGCTGTTCCCATCCTAAATATCTGAGCATCACCTTAGATCAAACACTAACATTTAGGAAACACTGTATGAACACCAAGCACAAAGTACCTGCATGTAATAACATCGGGACTGTGGCACAGTTGGTTGGGAGTCAGCTGCATTAAGATCACTACTGACCGAAAGGCCATGAGTTCAAAGCCAGCCCAGGTCAGAGTGAGCTTCTGACCAAAATTGTGTAGCTTGTTGTCAACGTATGCAGCCCAAAAGACAGTTGCATCTGTCAAGTAGGAAATTTAGGTACCACTTATATGGGGATGCTAATTTAACTGATTTATGAGGCCATAAAAATCTCCAGGAAGTATGCCAAGAATGAGGAAGTACTTCAGCAGTGTCACAAATGGATGATGAAACGACAGCTCCCCTGGTGGCCAGAAGCTGGAATATTAAATAGCCTCTGAGTGTCTGTCTATATATGTTGTGTTTACCCTGAAGAAGAGAAGGCTGATAGGAGATATGATAGCTATACATAAATATTAGGGCTGGGCGGTTTCGTTCGTTAATTTTGTATATCGTTTTTTTCCGTTAATTTCCCATATACGAAACGATATCAAACTTTTTTCCAAACCCGGAAGTGTATTTTCAAAATCGAAACAGCATGCGCCAAATATTTTTGTATTTCCGTCCATTTCGGAAATACGTAAGATGGCTAGATGCTTGCTGGGAGCTCCGGGAGCCAATCAGAAGAACCCACGGAGCTGATTGCCCTGTGGGTTCTCCTGATTGGGCCCGCAGTGCCTCCTGCTGAGGATTATTAGGCTGGCTCTCCTCTCTCTCCTCTCCTTAGCCAGTCAGAGCCTGAAAGAGGAGGAGGAGGAGGAGAGGGCGGGGAAGGCGCCGGCTGAGCAAGCGAGCGAGAGGGCGAGCAACCCTCAGCGGGAAGGCGGCCCCGTCCCTCCTTCCTCACCTTTGCGGTGGGTGTGCTTCGGAGGAGCCGGGCCCGACTCGGCGGCAGCGCTTGAGGGCCCGCCAGAGTGAGTGCCTGCCTTCCCTCCTTTCCCTTCCTCTTTTCTTTCTTCTCCTTTCCCTCCTCTTGGTGGAGAGAGAAAGAGAGAGAGAGAGAGAGCCCGCAGGACTCAGGAGGGTGGGACGGAGCTGGGAGCAGCGGGGAGGCTCAGTCTGTTTGCCCTGTGGCTCTTTTTGGCAAGCATTTTCTGCCAAATATTTTTTTTTATTATTAAAAAAATTAATAATTAAATTTAAAAAATATTGAAAAAATATTGAAAAAATTTCGTTGATGCTTTATGCTTTGCGCATGCGCAACCGCGGGCGCCATCTTTACAAAACGTTTTGTAAATATTAACGAAATTTCGTAAATACCAAACTTTTTTTATGGAAAATTTCGGATATATTTTTAAATACAAAACGCTGAGGCACCCTAAAAACGAAACGATATTAGAAACAAATTTTTCCGTTGTTACCCAGGCCTATAAATATGTGAGAGGAAGCCACAGGGAGGAGGGAGCAAGCTTGTTTTCTGCTTCCCTGGAGACTAGGACGCAATGGAACAATGGCTTCAAACTACAAGAGAGGAGATTCCATCTGAACATGAGGAAGAACTTCCTGACTGTGACAGCCGTTCAGCAGTGGAACTCTCTGCCCGGAGTGTGGTGGAGGCTCCTTCTTTGGAAGCTTTTAAACAGAGGCTGGATGGCCATCTGTCAGGGTGATTTGAATGCAATATTCCTGCTTCTTGGCAGAATGGGGTTGGACTGGATGGCCCAGGAGGTCTCTTCCAACTCTACGATTCTAGGATTCTATGTAGTAAATAAATAAATAAGAAATAAATTGAACAATGTATCGTCGAAGGCTTTCATGGCCAGAATCACTGGATTGTTGTAGGTTTATTCGGGCTATATGGCCATGGTCTAGAGGCATTCTCTCCTGACGTTTCACCTGCATCTATGGCAAGCTTCCTCAGAGTCACTATCTCCTGAGAGCCTGAGAGCATTTGACTCATTCCTGCTTCTGGAAAGGTGCGAGCAGTAGTGGGACTTAGCGAGTGGATACCTTATGCATGTGAAGATGGGCTTGGGTGATTTTTTCCACAGACCCCACACTCATCTTGGCATTTTGGGCTAGATGGTAAATGGTTATGTGGTGATTTGAATGCAATTTTCCTGCTTCTTGGCAGGGGGTTGGACTGGGTTTGGGTTAGGGTTAGGACCCATGAGTTCTTTTCCAACACTATGAGTTTATGGGTTGTTGTAAGTTTTTTTGGGCTATATGGCCATGGTCTAGAGGCATTCTCTCCTGACATTTCACCTGCATCTATGGCAAGCATCCTCATCTCACTACCTCTGAGGATGCTTGCCATAGATGCAGGCGAACCCTCAGGAGAGAATGCCTCTAGACCATGGCCATATAGCCCGAAAAAACCTACAGCAACCCAATAAATTGAACATTTTCAGTTCCATCCACAATTGGCTACTTTGAGATAAATACTTAAATAATTGCTTTTTCATACCACAACTCCCAGAATCCACCAGTTAGCATGGTCATACTGGTTTAGGGTTAAGGACGTTTTTCTCTTATGAACACTTGGTTTGAGATGGAGGGCAAATGGTGTTTTCCCCCTTAGACTCAAAATCACAGAGATAATTTATGGTTATGTGATGCTATGGACATCTCAAGGACATGGACTCCCAGGAAGCTAAATTACCTTTTCGCCCATCTTGAAGAGATTTCCAAATGCACCATCATTTTGTAATTTGGAATACTTACCCAGCACAATCCTCAACCCTTTATTGGTAAATAGAGAGCCTCAGTGATTAATTGTTGATTTATTGACCACATTCTATGCTGCTTATAAACCTAAAGGCCAAGGCAATGGGAAAACCAGCAAGGACTATTGTTTTTATACCAATCTTCCAAAGAATGGGCAGGATATTGACAAGCTGTAACTGACACAAAATCCATCGGTAATTCCCTGTGTACACATGACCTCAGCCTTCCAAGGTCTAAGGGGAAGGAAGCAAAGGTTGGGGTATTGATCAATACATCCACAGAGGTCACTATGGAATAGAAGGAAATGTTTCAATGGCATTCTCTCCCTCTTTCTCTCTCTCTGCTTCTGAAGAGCCAATACAATTGTTTGACCTTCCTTGGTACAACAGGGAAGGAGAAGACCACAACAGGAAACTGTCAACTTGATGCAATCCATCTTGGATCCACCAGGGAATGCTTCCGAAAGACACGTTTTGAACCCAAATCAATTAAAATCCACTCAAGTCATTTAAAGCTCTCATGCACCCACTCTGACTTTTCTGGAACTGGTGAACTTTCTTTTCAGAGCTGGGGAAATAGACATTTTAATATAGCTTCCAGAACTGCCCAGATAGACTTGCCATATCCCGAGCTAGCGAAGTGATTCTTGGAGTTGTAGCCCCAAAATAACTTATTCCCTAGATCATTCGTTTCCAAAGAAACTTATAGACAAAGGGATAATTTGGCGCAGCTGGCTGGGAGTCAGCTGCGTTAAGATCACTTGTGCACCAGCTGCGCCCGTTCCTTGGGAAGTCTGACTTGGCCACGGTGGTCCACGCTCTGGTTACATCCCGTATAGACTACTGCAACACTCTCTACGTGGGGTTGCCTTTGAAGACTGTTCGGAAGCTCCAAATGGTCCAACGGGCGGCAGCCAGGTTGCTAACAGGAGCGGCGTCCAGGGAGCATCCAACTCCTCTGTTGCGCCAGTTCCACTGGTTGCCAATTTGCTACCGAGCACAATTCAAAGTGCTGGCT